CGTTTGTACTTTCTTTTTATGTTTTGCTGTTTACTTTTTTTGCTGTTTACTGTGTTGCTTTTTGTACTTTTGCTGTTGTACCTGGGGGTTCTGTTGTACTGTTTTGGTTTAGTGTTTACCTTTTGGTTTTTCCCTGTTTTGCTTTTTTTTTTGTTTTGTTCTTTTGGGCTGTTTTTTGTTGGTTTACTGGTGTTGCGTTGTTACGTGTTGCTTTGTCTTGTTTTTTTTCTGTGTTGCGTTTTACTGGTTTTTTTCCCTTTTTCGTTGTAGGGTTTGCGTTGTTCCTGGTTCTTTAACTTGTTTGGGTTGACTGTTTGCTTTGACGTTGCTGTTTTACTGTGTTTTTCCCTGGACTGTGTTTTTGGGGTTTATTTGTGTTGCTGTTGTATGTGTTGCTGTTTGTACTGTGTTGCTGTTGCTTGTTCTGTTGTACGGGTTTGCTGGTTTTTACTTGTTTGCTGGTTTACTGTGTTTCTGTTGAAAACTTGTTGCTTTTCTTTTGCTGTTGCGGTTTTGCGAGTACTGGTTTTTGTATTTTGTTTTTACTGTTTTTCGAGGGGGGGAAACTGTGTTATTTTACGTTTGTGTTGTACCCTGTTGTGTTGTTAATTTGTGTTGCTTTTTCTGTGTTCTTTTTAAGTTTGCTGTTGTATTGTTATTTACTGTTTTGCTTTTGTTACTGTGTTGGCATTTGTATGTGTTGCGGGACTGTTTGCTGATGAAACTGTGTTTTTTTACGGTTGGTTTACTTGTTGTGTTGTAGTTGTTGTGTTGTACTGTTTCTGTTTTGACTGTGTTGCTGTTTTTACTGTGGTGTTTCGGGTTTCTGGACTTGGGTTTGCTTTTGTATGGTTGGTTGTACTTTTGGGCTGTTTATGTGTGTGTTGTATGTTTGCTGTTGTACTTGTTGCGTTGCTTTTGTTTTGTTGTAACTGTAGGGTTTTGAACTGTGTTTTTTACTGTTGCTGTTGTACGTGTTATTACGTGTTGCGGTCTGTTTTGTTTAAATTTGTGTGCTTTTGACTTGGTTGCTGTTGACTGTTTTTGCTGTTTTTACTGTGTTGGGTTTTTAACTTTTGTTCTGTTGTACTTTTGTTTTTACTGTGTTCCCTTGTTTTTAAACCGGGGTTTTTTTTTGGGACGGTTTGGACGTTTTTTCCCGGGGTTTTGGGAGGGTTTTCGGTAGGGTTTTAGGGGTTTTGCTTTGTCGTGTTGGGGGGCTGTTTTTTCCAGGGTTTTGCTGTTTTTAGGGGCTGTTTTTAAATTTTGGGGTACTGTGGGGGGGGAAAAAAGTTTTGGTTTTGATTTTTGGTTGTTTGTGGTTTTTTAAAGGGGGGTTTTTGTGTTCTTTTGTATGTGGTGGAAGGGTTTGTTTTGGGGAAACTGGTTGTGGGGGGGGGTTTTTGGGTGGAGGGTTTTGGGTTTTTGTATTTTGGTGTTGTCTTTTTGTTTGTACTGGGTTGCTTTGATTTTTAATTTTGTCGGTTTGTTTGTAATGGTTGTGGGGGGATGGGGTTTTGGGAATTGGTTGTTTTGCTGGGGGGGTTTTGGGTTCTTTTTAAAAGGTTTTTGTTTTGAGGGGGTTTTTATGTTTGAGTTTTTTGGGGGGGTTTTGGTTTTATGTGGGGGGATTTTGGGGTTTTTAGGTGTTGACTGGTTTGTGTTGCTGTGGTTTTTTTTTATGTGAAATTGTTTGGAAATGTTTATTTTGGGAATGTTGGGTTGAAATGGGGTTGGGGTCTGTGTTCTTTTTGAAATGTGTTGCGGTTTGGGGTTGGGGAGTTTGCTGTGAAACTGGGTTGCTTTTATTTTGGGTTTTGATGGTGTGTTTAGCGGGGTTGAAATGGTTGCTTTTTAAACTTTTTGCTGTTTTTCCCCGGGTTTTATTACTGGTTGCGTTGAAATTTTTTTCCTGTTTAAATGGGTTGCGGGTTGTACTGTTTTTCTGTTTTACTGTTTTTGCTGTTGTACTTGTTGCGTTGTACGTGTTTTGCTTGTACTGTTTTTCCCGTTGTACTGTGTTGCGGTTTTTTTTAACCGTGTTCCCTGTAGTATGTGTTGCGGTTTATGTGTTGCTTTTTGTATGTTTGCTGTTGTCTGTTTTTTGGTTTTGGGCTGTGTTGCTGTTGTACGGTTGCTGTTGAAATTTGTTTTATTTACTTGTTGCTGTTGTAGGGTGTTGCTGTTGTACTTGTTGCTGTTGAAACTGTTTTTGCGGGTTGAAATGTGTTGCTTTTGGGACCTGTTTTTGCTGTTGTACTGTGTTGCTTTTGTACTGTGTTGCTTTTGTACTGTTTTGTTTGTACGGGGTTTGCTGTTGTACTGTGTTGCTGTTGTACTGTGTTGCTGTTGTACTGTGTTGCTGTTGTACTGTGTTGCTGTTGTACTGTGTTGCTGTAGTACTGTGTTGCTGTTGTACTGTGTTGCTGTTGTACTGTGTTGCTGTTTTTACTGTGTTGTGTTGTACTGTGTTGCTGTTGTACTGTGTTGCTGTTGTACTGTGTTATTTACTGTGTTGCTGTTGTACTGTGTTGCTGTTGTACTGTGTTGCTGTTGTACTGTGTTGCTGTTGTACTGTGTTGCTGTTGTACTGTGTTGCTGTAGTACTGTGTTGCTGTTGTACTGTGTTGCTGTAGTACTGTGTTGCTGTAGTACTGTGTTGCTGTTGTACTGTGTTGCTGTTGTACTGTGTTGTTGTTGTACTGTTACTGTTGTACTGTTGTACTGCTGGTCGCTGCTAGCAACAGCCTGGTTGATCAGTCATGCTTCGCTGTTGTGTTCATTTCTCAGTTGTATGATTCATAGTCAATTGTATTCGTATCCAACAACTGTACTCCACATATCTCTAAATTCATCACATTACATTCATCTCCTCACATTACATTCATCTCTCCACATTACATCATCATCGTGTCTTACTGTATTAGAAGAGAGACGTCAGCTGACAGTGGATCAAGCCTCAACCACTAACCCATACGGGTTTAACCCTTCATGTAATAATGACAACAGGGATAAAAATAATTAAAATTGCCAATAATATCGTGTGTACAAGATAAAGATATACGAGTCATTTGGGTAGCTTTATTCTGGAGATGTTTCGCCCATCGTGTGCTTCTTCAGTCATTGGACTGGCTGGCGAAACCTTTCCAGAATAAAGATGTGTATTGGCTATTAAGACGCATGTGCAAGTGTTGGGTATCTGTACGGTTGAAACGTTTCGCCTACACAGCAGGCTTCTTCAGTCTGATACAGAGGCAACAGGTGTAGTAGTGAAATGAAGATGATGTAATCAGTCCATCAACCTTGATGGTCAGTCCCTCAGCCTGGAGAAGAGTCCAGCTCCATGGTCTGGAACAAGGTGGTCAGTCTCTCAGCCTGGAGAAGAGTTCAGCTTCATGGTCTGGAACAAGGTGGTCAGTCCCTCAGCCTGGAGAAGAGTTCAGCTCCATGGTCTGGAACAAGGTGGTCAGTCCCTCAGCCTGGAGAAGCGTTCAGCACCATGGTCTGGAACAAGGTGGTCAGTCTCTCAGCCTGGAGAAGAGTTCAGCTCCATGGTCTGGAACAAGGTGGTCAGTCCCTCAGCCTGGAGAAGCGTTCAGCACCATGGTCTGGAACAAGGTGGTCAGTCTCTCAGCCTGGAGAAGAGTTCAGCTCCATGGTCTGGAACAAGGTGGTCAGTCTCTCAGCCTGGAGAAGAGTTCAGCTTCATGGTCTGGAACAAGGTGGTCAGTCCCTCAGCCTGGAGAAGAGTTCAGCACCATGGTCTGGAACAAGGTGGTCAGTCTCTCAGCCTGGAGAAGAGTTCAGCTCCATGGTCTGGAACAAGGTGGTCAGTCTCTCAGCCTGGAGAAGAGTCCAGCTCCATGGTCTGGAACAAGGTGGTCAGTCTCTCAGCCTGGAGAAGAGTTCAGCTTCATGGTCTGGAACAAGGTGGTCAGTCCCTCAGCCTGGAGAAGAGTTCAGCTCCATGGTCTGGAACAAGGTGGTCAGTCCCTCAGCCTGGAGAAGCGTTCAGCACCATGGTCTGGAACAAGGTGGTCAGTCTCTCAGCCTGGAGAAGAGTTCAGCTCCATGGTCTGGAACAAGGTGGTCAGTCCCTCAGCCTGGAGAAGAGTTCAGCACCATGGTCTGGAACAAGGTGGTCATTTCTCTCAGCCTGGAGAAGAGTTCAGCTCCATGGTCTGGAACAAGGTGGTCAGTCCCTCAGCCTGGAGAAGAGTTCAGCTTCATGGTCTGGAACAAGGTGGTCAGTCCATCAGCCTGGAGAAGCGTTCAGCACCATGGTCTGGAACAAGGTGGTCAGTCCCTCAGCCTGGAGAAGCGTTCAGCACCATGGTCTGGAACAAGGTGGTCAGTCCCTCAGCCTGGAGAAGCGTTCAGCACCATGGTCTGGAACAAGGTGGCCAGTCCCTCAGCCTGGAGAATAGCTCGACTCCATGGTCTGGAACAATATGAAGCTGAACTGTTCTATAGACTGTGGGACTGACCACCACAAATACTATTTCTCCAGGATTAACGGACTGATTACATCATATTCATTTCACTACTACAACTTCTACCTTTGTATTTGACTGAAGAAGCCTGCTGTGTAGGCGAAACGTTACATCAATAAAGATACCCAACCGTTGCATATGTTTTTCGTCTTACTGTCCTTGAAGACCGAGTGCTGTAATCAGTGTTGTGGTGTTTCCATCTCATGGCTCTTATTCAAGCAGTGGTTCCCAAACTGGGGGTAATGGTAGAGTAATGCTCTCTGTAGAGTCTAGAGAGAGCATTACTCTACCATTACTCCCAGTTTGGGAACCACTGGTCTAGAGGAAGAATGGTAGAGTAATGCTCTCTCTAGACTCGACAGAGAGAATTACTCTACCATTACCTACCATTACTCTACCATTACCCCCAGTTTGGGAACCACTGTGACTTATTGTATTGTAATTGAATGGAATTGTTGTGTAATAAGGTAATTACTGTTTGATTACACTGACACCCTTAATTAACAGGCTTGTAAATTATCGGCGAAGTAATGATTAAGATATTAATGACTCCTGGTAGAGACTAAGATAAGCTATGCAATATGGCTAGGCGATCTTGCTGGTGTCAGCAGTATACCAGCTGATCTAGCCAGGTGGTGCGGGTGTGCGTGTGTCAACCAAGCCAGCTTGTGTGTGTACATTTCGTGTAGATGGTTTTGTTAATGATGGCCCCCGCGGCCCGGTGCCAGACTTGGCATCTGGCAGTCTGAGTAGCAAGGCTGGATGGACGGGAGTTATGGAGAATCTTAGGTTAAAAACCTTAGCATGCTGACGGAGGTGTTATCTCGGGTGGCGCTGCTATCGCAGGAGGTGGCCCGCTCTTTAGGGGTGATGTGGCCCCATAACGATGGTCACCCTGACGTGGGGGAGTGCGCCCCCCGCTGGACTAGTCCCACAGATATGGCATCTCTGGGGAGTGTAGTGTGTGTACCTCCGTCTCCCCATGCGAGAGGTCCTCCCCTCACTCGCCTGCTATCCTCCCCACCATGTAGTATTACTGATAGCAAAGATTGTGATGTGGTACGGGCTGGGTTACCATGTTGTTATATGGACGACCATGAACTGGTTGCCACGCCCGCACCCACCTCCCTCACACGCCTGCAGCTGCCACTGACAGAACCCAGGTGTGACAGTGACAATGACAGTGGTTTAGTGAGCTGCGGTGACAGTGATCACACTCACACACACGACAATGGTGACACAGTGCCGCCGCCCTTCCTCCTCTGTGATACTGAGCCGCCAGTCCTGGCCGCCCCCGCTGGTGACTCTCCCGTACCCTTCCGTCCGGATTTCGATCACGCTGTTTCGGTCACTATGGGACACTTGGCGCCCAAGTACTACGCCCACACACCCGCCGCCTTCACCCACCACAACGATAACCCCTGGTGCAGGTCTCGTAGCAGCCGCTACGAGGACCAAGGCTTCGGGGACCTCTCAAAACGTGACTTTAGCGAGACGCATCAAGACCAGGCGGTCTTCAACGACCCCAGCCCCGTACTGAGCAACGACTCCTGCAACTACCCCAGCGTACCCTGCAATAACAGCAGCAACACACCCGTCGTCAAGAAGCACAAAGAAAGAGGAGTAGAAGTGAGGAGTAGTGGTGAGTGTAGTGAGGAAGGGGAAGAACTGGGCCACCTCGATAACTTCCTCTATCCTCCTCCTCCAGACAACCCCTTCGATGCCACCTTCAGACACACCCGCACCTCCGCTACACACAGGCGCTTCAGAGTCAAGAAGGTGAGTTCTTCTAGTGTTAATATTAACCGTATACCTTAATGGTCAGTAATAATCCACATGGAGAGACAAACTCGGAAGGAATCGGTAAGTGTGTCAGATTTAGTCTTGATGAAGCTGTACACAAGCTTGATAGCCTTCTACACAAGCTTGGTAACCTCTTACACAAGCTTGGTAACCCTCTACACAAGCTTGGTAACCCCCTACACAAGCTTGGTAACCCTCTACACAAGCTTGGTAACCCTCTACACAAGCTTGGTAACCCTCTACAAAAGCTTGGTAACCCTCTACACAAGCTTGGTAACCCTCTACACAAGCTTGGTAACCCCCTACACAAGCTTGGTAACCCTCTACACAAGCTTGGTAACCCTCTACACAAGCTTGATAACCCTCTACACAAGCTTGGTAACCCTCTACACAAGCTTGGTAACCCTCTACACAAGCTTGACAACCCTCTACACAAGCTTGCTAACCCTCTACACAAGCTTGCTAATCCTCTACACAAGCTTGATAACCCTCTACACAAGCTTGGTAACCCTCTACACAAGCTTGGTAACCCTCTACACAAGCTTGGTAAGCCCTCAACAAGTGGTAACCCTACACAAGGTTGGTACCCTCTACACAAGCTTGAAACTCCACACAGCTTGCTAACCCTGCTAAAAGCTTGCTAATCCTCTACACAATTGATAACCCTCTCAAGCTTGGACGTCGATCACAGACTTGGTAACTCTTACAAGTTGGATTAAGAGGTGGCCCGGTGGTGTGCAGAGTCAAGGGGTCAGAAACGAAGGTATATGGTTGGCTTGAGTTTGCTCACTCAGGTTAGTCAGGAAACTGGCAGAAAATTGCTTATTAGCAATTTGAGAGCTGAGTTAGTTGAGCGTCGGGAGTCAGACCTTAGCTAATTTTAGTGGAGATTGAATGAAGGTCGACCCCCAGGTGTGCCTCTTGTGGGCTGGCACAAGTTGAGGTGTGGCGTTGAGATTTAATGATAAGTGTGTGTGTGGGGGGGGGGGATGTGGGTGTGTGTGTGTGTGTGTGTGGGGGGGGTGTGGGTGTGTGGTGTGTGTGTGTGTGTGTGGTGTGGTGTGTGTGTTGTGGGTGTTGGTGTGGGTGTGGGTGTGTGTGGGGGGGTGTGTGTGTGTGTGTGGGTGTGTGGGTGTGTGTGTGTGTTGGGGGGGGGGGGTGTGTTGTGTGGATGTGCGTGTGTGTGTGGGTGTACTCACCTAATTGTGGTTGTAGGGGTCGAGACTCGGCTCCTGGCCCCGCCTCTTCACTGGTCGCTACTAGGTCACTGTGTGTGTGTGTGTGTGTGTGTGTGTGTGTGTGTGTGTGTACTCACCTAATTGTGGTTGTAGGGGTCGAGAGTCAGCTCCTGGCCCCGCCTCTTCACCGAGTGCTACTGGGTCCTCTCTCTCCCTGCTCCATGAGCTTTATCATACCTCATCTTAAAGCTATGTATGGTTCCCGCCTCCACTAGCTCACTTGCTAGGCTATTCCACTTCCTGACAACCCTATGACTGAAGAAATACTTCCTAACATCCCTTTGACTCGTGTGTGTGTGTCTCTCTCTCTCTCTCTCTCTCTCTCTCTCTCTCTCCTCTTCTCTCTCTCTCTCTCTCTCTCTCTCTCTCTCTTTCTACACGAGTCATTTTTAAAGGCGAGTTTTTATTTATTACAAAATATTTCAAATCAGAGCTGAAGTTCCATTAGTGGAATTTATTGCCGCTTGAAATGTGAGGTTGTCATTATAACAGTTTGTGTACATGTCCAACTACCACTGTGGAGCAGTGGACCACCAGTAGCAGCAACAGCCTAGCTAGCAACAGTACCTAGCACCAGACGAGCCTGGACTATGGCCGGGCTCCTGGTGTAGAAAAACTCTAGAAACTCATAAAGGGTAAAGGTACCACTACTACTATTACTACCACCACTACTACCACCACTACTACCACCACTACTATTACTACCACCACTACTACCACCACTATTACTACCACCACTACTATTACTACCACCACTACTACCACCACTACTATTACTACCACCACTACTACTACCACTACTATTACTACCACCACTACTATTACTACCACCACCACACTACTACTATTACTACCACCACTACTACTATTACTACCACCACTACTACCACTACCACCACTACTACTACCACTACTATATTACTACCACCACCACCACATACTACTATTACTACCACCACTACTACTATTACTACCACCACCACACTACTATTATACAACACCTCCACCACTACTACTATTACTAACACCACCACCACCACTACTATGTTACTACCACCACTACTATTACTACCACCACTACTATTTCTACCACCAATACTACTATTACTACCACCACCACTATTACTACCCCACACCACCACTACTACTATTACTACCACCACTACTACCACCACCACCACTACTATTATACTATATCCACACCACTACTACTATTGCAACCACCACCACCACTACTATTACTACCACCACACACTACTATTGCACCACCACACCACTACTATTACTACCCCACCATACTATTACAACACCACCACCACTATTACTACACACTACTACTACTACTATACTACCACCATACTATTACTACCACACTACCACTACTATTACTACTACTACTATCACTACCACTATACTACTATTACTACTACTATCACTACCACTACTACTACTACTACCACTAGTATACTACTATCACACACCACCACCACCACACTACTACTACTACTACTACTACTATCACTACACACCACCACTACATACTACACTACTAATACTGCACACTACTACCACCACTACCACTCTATGTACAGACACTTTACTACTACGCACATTACTGTACTATTACTACCACCACCATACTTACTGTCTACCCACCACCTACCACCCTACTATTGTTACTCTCCACCACCAACCATCTACTACTACTATACACTAGATCACCGCGACAAAAAACAAGAACAGAACCACCACTACCAACATCGTTGTAGTGGTATGGACTTTCAGTTGCATAGTTGACCGTGTACTACAACTTGTGCGTGACCCAATCTGACTTGACCTCTACTTGTTGACCTCAAGCTCAAATCTCTACTTTACACAGATAGCCTGACCTTAAAGAATGATATCTTGACCTCAGAACACACAGTGTGACCTTCAAGATTGATATCTTGACCTCTAAACTTGTAGCCTGACCTTCAAGATTGATATCTTGACCTCTACACTGATAGCCTGACCTTCAAGATTGATATCTTGACCTCTGCACTGATAGCCTGACCTTCAAGATTGATATATTCACCTTCAAGACTGATACCTTGACGTCAGAGTTCATGCATGAGATGCCTGTGGACTGAATAGTGAGTAGTAATGTCAGGGGCCCAAGACTATTCAACAGCCTCCCATCATACATATGGGGGAGTACCAATAGACCCTTGACTGTCTTCGAGAGGGAGCTGGACAGACAACTAAAGTCAGTATCTGACCAGCCGGGTTGGGGTTCGTATTCTGTATTGCGTGTAACCAGCAATAACAGCCTGGTTGATCAGGCCCTCATCCACCGGGAGGCCTGGTCGATGGCTTGGCCTCAGGGGCGTTGACCCCCGGAACACCCTTCTGGTAGTGGTGGCTGAAACAACGTCAGTGATGGTAGGTCTGGTCATTGCTTTACTCTCCCCCACCAATACCTCCTACCACCCACACGCCACCCACCGCCCACCCATGGCACCACACCCACCACTGCCTACCCACCGCCCACCCACAGGCCACCCACCGCCCACCCACTGCAGAGCGCAGCAAAACGTCTTGCGGTGTACATGTTTTGTAATGCACTCTATATTACGCAGACACAGTGCCTAAGGAACATACAGACTAGCTGCAGTAGGCCTAGTGACTGTATACAAAAAAAGAAAGAAAAATACTTCCTACCGAAGCGTTTAGTTATTCATATATAATGTGTGTGTGTGTGTGTGTGTGTGTGTGTGTGTGTGTGTGTGTTGTGTTCTTTAATATCTAAACCAGAATTGTGCTGGATAATTTAAATGAGACTACCAGAGAGAGAGAGAGAGAGAGAGAGGGAGAGAGAGACTAGAAATTTTAGGGTGAAATATTGTGGTGGGAGCTTTGAGTCAGTACTGGATAAGAGAAAGATCTTAGTGTTTTAGTTAATATTTGTCTTATAGAAGTGTATGGGCAGGGAATAGTAGGGAAGGAAAAGAAGTGAGAGTTTGAAGCTGTGTGTGTAGTGTTATTGTGTGTGTGATGTGTTGTGGAGTGTGTGGTGTGTGTGATGATGTGTGTGTGTTGAGCGTGTGTGTGTGTGAGTTTATATAGTGTGTGTTAGTGTGGTGTGTTAAGGACTCTGGTGTGGAGTGTGCCATTGTTTTAGTGTTGTGAGGTGCTTGTGTTGTCTCTCCTGCTGCCTGCCTTGCCTGCTCCATGCTGCCGTGCAGTGCCTTGTGCTCATGCCCTGCCTCCATGCCCTGCCTCCATGCCCTGCCTCCATGCCTGCATACCCTGCCTGCCTGCCCTGACTGCCTGCTTGCCTACCAGCCACTGACACTACCCACTGGGGTGCCCAGTATACCACTGCTCACACAATTCCTCCCACAATCGTAAGCTCGGGGGATCAATCCTCTGGCATGGAGAAGCATTTAAGCAAGTTTCGATGTGTACTAGCCGACTGTTATGGGTCCCGTCTTTGGGAAAATGTGTTAGAAGAATCCAGTCCTGCTGGAAAGACATTTCTTCCACAAGAAAGCTCCAGTCCTGCTGGAAAGTCATTTCTACTACCCCAAGAAAAGCTCCAGTCCTGCTGGAAAGTCATTTCTACCACAAGAAAGCTCCAGTCCTGCTGGAAAGTCATTTCTTCCACAAGAAAGCTCCAGTCCTGCTGGAAAGTCAGTTCTTCCACAAGAAAGCTCCAGTCCTGCTGGAAAGTCATTTCTACCACAAGAAAGCTCCAGTCCTGCTGGAAAGTCATTTCTACCACAAGAAAGCTCCAGTCCTGCTGGAAAGTCA